TGAAGAAAGCATCTAGAAAGAAGAAGTAAACCTTTTTTTAAAAGACCGATTTGTTCTGATATTTTTTTCTTTTTTATATTTAAATAAAATATATAATTAAGTAACAACAGCAGTTAGTCCATAACTTCGTTGATGTTCTTTTGAACCAAATATTAAAGATGCCAGTACAAGATGACCTTGAACCTTAACTAGTAAAGGTAGTTTTTCTTTAACCGCAATAGGATGAGTATGTTTTTCTGTATTGATATAATATGTAAAAGCATCTCTTGGAAATAATGGAAATACTTGTTCATAAATCAATCTATTTTCATGAGCCACTTGTTTCCAAATTGTTTCAAAGCATTCATAAGCGTCTTCAACAAGCAAAGACAAATGTTCTTTGAAGCCAAGATGTTCCATCCATAACTTTTTTCTCAATGATGAAATTTTTTTACAGACACTGATTTCTTCTCTTCCAAATAACTCTTTTATTTGATTCGTTTCTTTAATAGAAATTGCAATTTCAGTATCACGATCTCCACGTAATGAGCGATCATTCATATTAGCAGAGCCTATTAATGCATACCTATCATCTATTATCATTAATTTTGAATGAACATAAATTTGACTTGAAGTTATTCCATATTTTTCACACCATCCATAATTGTACAAATTACAAACACACAAATAATTGGAAATATCTCTTACACCATTCTTTTTAGCAATATTAAAAATACTATTAGTCCCATCATATATAGATTTTCTAGTGTACTCTAAAATTTTTCTAACTGACTTTTGCCTTAATTGACCTTCACTAAATACTGGTAACACAATGACAACAAAAAACTTTTTTCCTCTTTCAAAAGATGTAACTATCTTTTTAGCAATTGCCTGACCAAGTTTATTTGAAATATTTTTTTTACCACAGTTACTTAAAAAATATTGTTGTTCAATATAAATAAAATGTTCTGCTTTTCTTATTAACCTAAGCATTTCTCCATAAATACTACATTCGTTTTGAGATCCAGAACTATTACATATTGATCTACATAACTTCATTTCATCTGAACCTTCGTATGTGTTTACAGCAATAGACTCAATAGACCCATTATAAAATTGCCATCGTTGGTGAAAATGATATTGGAGGTCATTTAAAATTGTTCCATTAACCATACAGTGAATGTCATGCCATGGCATTCTTGGATATTGGAGTGAATTAGTTTTATGAATTTGGATATTGTTGTAATCAATTGGAGGATAAATATAATCATCATCTTGTTTGACACAAGGTGATATTTGGTGGTCATGAGTGTCATACCTCCCAACACAAAGGTCAATTCCACCTACAAACCCAATTTCATTATCAATAATAATAACTTTTTCATGGTGAGAAAATATTAATGACCAACGTTCGCAAATACAAACAATATTAGGATGTACAGAATTTAGAATTTTTGATGTAGTTTGGTTTTTTGTTAAATGACTAACATAAGGGGATTTATATAATAATACATAAATTTTTATACCACGTTTTGCAGCAATCATTAAAATATCAAGAATTGTTTTTCCTTGTAGGTAATGATTAGTTCTAATCATAGGAACATTTAGGTCCATTCTCCATCCCATTATTTTAATTGTGTTTTTTGCAGAAACAAGTGACTCAGCAATTTTTTGCATTGTCTCTTCTCCGTCAATAAGAAATTGAAAATCCCCTGTTCGAGTAAAAAATGAGGAGCGTGTTGATGCTAAATGTTTTTTGAAGGTAAATGCATTCTTTAGATCACATATATAGTAATATAAACTTCTCATTCTATAACTGAATAACTTATTAGTTATTTATGACTTAAAATTCTTTTTAATTCAATTGTGTTTATAAGCATTTGTCTTTTTGATGTTTAATCATCCTCTCATTATAAGATGAAGAGCCAATAAACTTTATTGGAATTTTCAATAAATAAAAAATATTAAAAACTAATAAGAGAAAAAACTAATAAATTTTAGTTTTTTCTGAAAGGAAATGAAACAAGCAACAATAGAAGAAAGATTAATAAATACAACATCAGACACTATTGAAAAAACAACAAAAAGAATTTGTGATATAACTGCAGTAGTTGCTGATGAACAAACTAAATTATGGCAAATAGTTGATAAGGCAAACCGAGTTCAAATTCAACAAAATTATTATTTAAAAGTTTGTTTATTTTTATTTATTTATTACTACTATCCTTTTTATTTAATTTATAGAGTGTTATTGATGATGAAAATCAATCCGTAATTGATTGTCAACATAAAATGGAAGATATTATCACTGATATGGCAAAGTACAGAACTATAACTTCCTTTACTACCATGACATATACATTAAACGATTTATTTGACTTTATTAAATCTAATTATAAGAGATAACAATCATTTTATTATTATTAATTATTTTATTTTGAATTTATTTTATAAAAAAAATTAAATTTTTTAATAAAAAGCACAAAAGAAATGCAATTAGCAAAAGCTCCTTTCATGAGTAAGTCAATTTAATTCATTTTAGCAATGAGTTTATTAATGAGTAATTCACGATTTCCAAATCCTCCTCCAAGAATAAAATGAATCTTCTTATTCTTTTCAGCAATTTTAGCACCATTTAATTTGAATGGAGCAAGTTTATTGTTAACTTCCTTAAAGTTCTTTCCAACAGTATAAATTTCATGAATAAGGTCATCAACACAGACAATATCTTTATCTCCAAGAGCTTTCTTAATCATGCAGTTAGAAGTAATTGGCATTCTATTTCCATTGATCTTAAGTGCTCCACGTTTGTAAATGAGTTTTTGGACAGTTTCTAAAGTTGGATAACCATAAGTAACATATGGGTCAACAAGTCTTAACATTTTAATAGTTGAAGCATTTGCCTTAATAAAGACAGCATTGTTAATTTGTCTTAATCTAAGAAGTTTAAGAATTTTCTTAATTTTTGGTGAAACTCCATTAATACCTCTAATTCTAATGGCAACAATTAATTTTGGATCAGCTTCAGCATATAAATCACCGTTAATTTCAGCATTTCTCTTAGCAACATAAACTGCTTTCTTAGCGGCTTCAATGTCTTTATGATTTTTAATTGTTCTTTTGATAACTTCTGCTCTGAATGCTTGACATCTAGCCTTACATGGACAAACAGTTTTTGTGCATGTTTCTCTTTGAACAGCGGTGGCAACTTTAGCACTCATCCAGCTTAATCTACATTTAGTTCTTTCAAGGGTTTTTATTATTTTTACTATTCTTTTATTATAATTTTCTTATATTTTTATTATTTTTATTTTATTTAAAAAATATAAGTCTTATGGTGAATTAGTTTTTTTCAGCTTTAATCTCAAAGGTTTACTATTCTAGTGAAAATGAAATACATATGTTCTTCTTTATTTTTTTTAGAGATATCTTTAACTTAGTAATAGACATCTTATTTTATTTAATCAAAACACACACCCATTTATAAATATTTTATGAATTTTTATTGTATTTTAAAACTTATTTTTTATTTAAAGTAGTTATTCTTGCAATTACTTAGTATATTTTCATTGGTATTGAAAAAACTATTATTTCTATTAAATAACACACAGTTTGACTGTTTTATTAATTAAATAAACATTTATTGAATTACAAATATTCTTTAAAATAAGTCTTGAAAAATAAAGAAATTGTTATTTATTCTCCAATTTAATTAAAATTATAGAGTGTATATGATATATTAATATAACTCCGAGTATGCTATTTTTTGATAAAAATATTAACAAAGAAAAGTGAATAAAAGAGACACGTTATCATTGTTTTTTAAAATTGTTATTTCAGTTGACTGTCTTCCCTTATGTGTTAACTTGGTTGTAAAAAATTTTAATTTGAATCACTAATAAAAAAATAATAAACAAATAGAATAGTTTATAATAAACAGTATTATTGGTGTTAATGAATAATATAATAATGACAGTAATAGATATTTGATGAGTATAATGATAAGTTAATTTTTGTTAAATGTTATTGAAAGAGTAGTATAATCATTAATAGTGAAAGCAAAAACTATCATAAAAAGATATCAAGAATATCATTTTCATGAGTAAAAAATTCATATAATTTATTCAAAAGGTTTTATAAAGTTCAACAACAAACAAAATAATATTATTAGTTGGTTAATACATTTTGGGTTTAATATTCAACCAAAGCAATACCAGTCAACAAATTTAATAATCAATAGTAGTTATATAGTGTTATTGATAGACTATTCTAAAGAAATGAATAATCTAACTTAATTGTTAAAAAAGAGATTTTTTAAATGAAAGGATTTTAAGATTTTATATAAATGAGATTAAAAAATGATAGAAAGAAATATTATCTTTTGAGATCTGACAAAATAAAAGATTTTTTTATTTTTGTATCTTGTTTTGAGTTTCTTTAACAAATGAAGATGCATTACAGGAGACACCAC